TGGTAATGGAGCGTGTGGCTGGAAGGGACCAACTTGATGTTCTGGAGGCCTACTTGAAACTTGTCCTGAAATCCAAGACAGAAGTACCGGCAGCCATTCTGCAGCGGAGTATCGCATGTATTTTCGCAGTCGACCGTATTGAGGCGAGCAATCAGAACGACTTCCGTATGCTGGGCTCTTTCGCTGAGTTTCTGATGCAGACCAACGACGAAGAGGACTTTGAGGGATTCGCAGTTAAGCTACAGGTCTGGCGACAGGTGTCGCAGGCGTTGTCCAACTATCTGCGCAACAATGCGCTGGAATACCGAGTGGCACACAACGCTTCCCTCTTGGACACTTGGCTTTTATGGCCACTCCAGACACTGGCTGCCTTTGCGGGGCGACGGGCTAGCAACACCTTTGATGTCTCGTTTTGCGATCAGTGGCGCCAACTGGTAAACGCAGGACAAAATGCGCCGGGCAGGAAGAAGTTCTTGTCGAACTTGAAAGCCACACTTACAGACCTTCTTAAGAGCAAGGACGAACCGCTCTTTTCAGAGCTATTCGATGCTTATGTGAGCTCCGTAATCAAGCTTGGACTCTGTAAAGAGGCACCACTGTATAAGGACGTTTTTGGCCTACTTCAAACCATCTTCGAGCAACCCTGCTCCCAGAAGACGCTCGAAGCCTGTTTAAACACCCTCCGCAACCTGGTGGTGGAGTTGCGCCAAAACGAACTCATGGTAGTGTTCGATTCCTTGAAACCAACTTTATCTTCTGGCATCCAGTGCTGGAACAAGATGAAGTGCGAGGGAGGCTTCTTGGAGGAGTGGAAGCGGGGAATTCAGGAAAAGTTTCGCAAGTTACCCATGAAGACTATGGCCAATCAGCTCAAAGAACTCTTCAAGGGAGATGACCTTTTCGTGATCATCCCATCAGTGTGGAGTCTGAACCCAGAAAAGCTGACGGACCGTCAAAAGGAGCGCTTTGCTGAGAAGTCGGACATTCCAGCTCTGTATAATGACATGTCGCAGTCTCAGGACTCGGCTTCCATAAAGCCATGGACTCCTAAGAAGGTGGTTATCGCAAAGAGCAAACAGGGAGAGCTGGCCTTAACCGGCAAGGATGACAACGATGAGGTGATCGACATAACGCCAAGCGAGGAATCTGAAAAGGAACCAGTGAGAATTGAGGTGATTACACCCATCCGAAAGAAACCCGGACGTAAGTCCCTAGCTCAAAAAGAAGAGGAGGCCGCTGCCAGGGCCGTCACCCTTGCCGAGGAGCCGCCAAAGCGTCAGACGCGAACACGGGCGGCCCAAAAGGACACGGAACAGCCAGCGCAACCACAGCCACCGCCTGAACGCCAGCTCAGATCGCCAAAGAAACTGCCACCGCCTCCGGTCGTTCAGTCTACAGCAGGTAAGCGCAACAGTAACAGGTGGGCTTAGGATGTTAATCCCCACACTTGAATTCTTGCAGCTGCCGGTAAGCAGGCCAAGGTTGCAAAACCCACCCCCGTGGTAATCGCACAGAGCGAGGATCTTTTCCCGGAAGTCGCAGCTGAGCCAGAGCCTCAGCCAGAACCGGTTAAGAAACCCGACCCTGTGCCTGAAACAACACAGCTGACTCCGCCTGATGTGCCCATGGAAGCTGTACCCTCTACCCAACTGCCAGGAAGCAGCGGCGATCCTGCCTCCTCTGCGGCTGCTGTGGCTGCCGGGGAGACGTCGCCGAAGAAATCTGGCACACGAATATGCAACTTGGTAAGCAAATTTAATCGCATAAGGATTGGGAAAACCGGTTTCCACTTGGGAACAATGATTTTATTAACTTTTCATCTTTTCGCAGAGCTCTCCACCTGATCGCAAGCAGACAAACAACTCCTCGAGTCCAACTCTGCGTCCCAAGCCCACGGGACATCTGACTGGACGCGGTGCCCAGTTGATCAATATGATACGCAACAAAAAGTTGGACGCTGCATCCGGCTCGCCGTATGCGTGCATGTCTACATCGCGTCAGGTCCACCAAGTGACGCCGGCCCGTGTCCAGGATCGCGCCGAGCTGGTGTCCACGCCCACCCACGAGCTGAACGAGCTGACGGGCACCGACCATACCTCCACGCCGATCCAGGCACCTCCTTTCAAGGATCTGCTGGTGTTTTCCAAACGATTGCCATCCCCTTCGGCCAGTCCCTCGGTCAGCATCCTAAAGCGCAAGCTGCGATGCGAAAGTCTCGATGATGTTACTCTGGACTCGCCGGCCCTAAAGCGAAAGCGAGTTAGCTTCCACGACCCACCGGTGTCCGTCACAAAGGAGTACCTGCGGGATGCTGATGAGACGCGCAGCAGCCTGAAAACCAAGCGCTGCCTGCTCATGGACAAGGTGGCCCAGACCACCGAGATGCGCCAGGCCCTCAGAAGACGCGGTCGGTTGGACAGCATAATCGAAATAGAGCGTTTCGCCAGCGAGCAGACGGCCAGAACAGCGACGACGGACAAGAGCCTGGACAAGTCCACAGGCGAAGCTCACGAAGAGGATGTATTCACCAGCCTAAAGTGGAACGACACAGGGAACGCCCTCAACATTAGCATAGCCGAAGAGCCTGTTAGGGCGATGGAAGTGGAGTCTGATCCCGACCCAGCTGGTCAGGATCTAGCCATCATGGATCCAGAGGCCGCACTCGATCTGGTGGTGGAGCAATTACCGCTGGAGTCGGTTTTGCAGCGCTACTTTGACAAGAGTCCGCTGAAGAGCGTCGGCACATTGGCTAAGTTTCTGTCCGCCCAAATGGGAGCAAACGAGAAACTCAAGACCAACGTGTTGGAAACTCTGTCGGAGAACCACCCCAAGGACTTCCTGGACCACGCTGTGCGGGAGAATCTGTCGTCGGTGGTGTGCGACCGCCTGAACCCGAATTCAGTGCTGGAGTACGTATGCGCCAAGTCGAAGATCAACAACAGTTGCCGCAACGGGCTGCTGGCCCAGGTGCCCGAAATTCTCAAAAGCGGACCGCGCTCCGATGCTGAGCGCCTGGCCTTCGTGCAACAGCTGATGGTGCAGTGCAGCCCCGATGATGACCTGCTCCTCGATCTCATTGCCCTTCTGATGCGCACGCGTCGTGAGCGGAAGAGCATCACCAACACCTCCACCCACATATCCAAGGGCGTTGTATCCGCCGTTGGAAGCCCTGACAACGTGGCCGAGACCGCGGCCGACTCCTCGTCAAACTTGTGAATTGGACTTGACTTGAAACTACTATTGAAATTTTACGCACTTGGCCATTGCCCTCGATTATGTATGGGAGTACGATCGTAACTCGTTCGTTCTAGATAGTTAAGTTTAAACTGCATTATGTTTAAGATTTATATTATGCCCGTTGGTGTATTATTTCGGCTGCAAAAACTTGCTTCGTATTTTAACAATAAATTCAATATTTTATTATAAAAATAGATTGATGGATTTTTAGGTAATAAGACAGTGGTTCGATTCCCTTTGCAAACGGATTGAGAACTTGTTTTTGTCTCTTAAGTGCATCCATCATAATTCGAATTTGACCGCTCGAATGCGATGACTAAAGTTTGATAAGAAAACCACACGATGATTTGAACTTGCATTGAGTTGAAATTTGTCTATAAAAACCTGGGAGTTGATATACTCAAGAGTCCAAGGTGCGCAGACATGTTCCTCACAACGTAATCGATTACCAGTAAAACTAGGCAAGTCTAATCTACTCCATGTTTGTGCTAATGAGTCGATACGTCTATAATGACGGGACAGATACGTTTCCCAACAGGCAGATAAATAATTAGGATGACTTCCGATAAATTAGGGAGCAGCATTCAGCGAGTTAAGTGCGTGTACGAGTCATTGATAAAATTTGTTTGGGTAATCATGACGCCAATTCTCAGTGATAAAGTGGCTCTGTTTCCAAATGATTGTGTAATGGATGGAATATGCAAATTATTGATTAAGCGCGGTTAAGGAAATCGCATTTCGCATTGGTATAGGGCATCCCAAAGTCGCGAGTTCCGCTTCATTGGTGCTTGTGACTATGCTGGATATTTTGGGGGTCAGGCAGTGGCACCTTCAGTGGAGGGCAAGCTCCACGTAAGAACCTCCACTGGTGTGGGTCCAACCCTATCTGGTTGATTTGCTGTTCTGGTCGCGGCAAAGTCAAACTACCCCGCCCGCCGCCGCGTCCATTGATAATGTTCACGTGCTAGCAAACAACGCGTCGTCGCCGACATCGGCAGATAGAGATACGTCGCCTGGCGACGCCGACGATCTTTGAAACATATGCATATGTATGTACTCTGTGTGTACTGTGTGTACTGTGTGTATATGGCATATACCTATGTACGTGTTCGCCTACGGCGACGTCTTTCGCTGGCATGCGGGCAAATACAATAATATTGTATTCCAGCGTGGGCGGAGCGTTCTGCACGCCGCGGATGCGTGCTAGGTGCTGCGGCGGACAAGACGTTGGATACTTTGTATCAGCTAAGGGCGTGATAAGTGCGCTTTCGGCACAATTAGCCAGCCGTTTTAGTTTGGGAATGCCAAGGTCGTTTGTAGGTCTGTACTTAGCACCGCTGCTCGTAGCATCCCGATCGCCAAATCGGCGAGTCTGGCCGCCCATGTATAAATAGCAATGGAAAGTTCTTGCCCAATTGCGCAAGTGAAACTGACCTACCTAACCCAGGCCATCTCGTGTGTGCGATGACGCAGTTCGTCCGTACTTGAGTCTTCTGCTTCGTCTGCTCACTGTCTGCGGAATCAGCTGGTCAGCCAGGCAGCCTGGCAGCCACTCAGCCGAACGAGAGCACAGTCTAATGTACTCCCCCACAAAAGGCACTACATATTAATACGCCCCGTGGACCGTTCGTATCCATATGTGATTCATTCATAAGCCGGTTGCCCTCGAAATGCGTGAGGCACTTGTGAAATGGCCGCTCTTATCAGGCGGCTAGTTCCCCGATCGATTTCGAAGGCGTGCCGTGGAAATTCACGGAAGAGCAGCCTTGTTGGCCCGTGGTTCTATCAGCAGCACTCGCCGCATAATTGAATAATCTGAATCTGCCGAGCGAAGAGCGCGAAACAATAAAAATATCAGATACGCTGCCCGTCCGCCGCCAGTTACAGAACAAATTCGCTCCGAACACAACGTGGGCGCATCTCGCAGGTGCCAAAAACGAGGTAGATACACGGGATGAAAGTGCGGTGGTTTGGTACCCATACTCGTAGAGAGATCGGTTCATATATATTTCCGTCGGGTAGTTTGCTAATTTTATATGAAACAGTTGGTGACACAAAACAAACTTATATATACTGCTAATGCTTATCGCTCCCAACATTCTTGGATAATGATTTCCACAAAACAAAATACAGTGACGAAATGGAAAATTCTTGACTACATTTATTTATGGCGAAGAGCTGCAGGATGCTTGTGATATCATGAGCTATCTCTTGTATATTCAACATCTAAGCCCCGAAAGTCGGTTAATCTTCCAAAACCACTGTTTGCACACGAAGAGCATGAGAAGGGTCACTCAAATTACTTGGTATTCAAAACCATTCAATACTAAACTCAAAGGCAGTTGAATGGATTTATCGGAAACACAAAGGATATTGCCGTGATACAACATTGTGCCTGAAATTCGGTTGAGCATCTCCTGCGCATCTCATGCGAAATCGAGAATAGGTAGCTGCTGCAGCACGAGAGTCTAGCACGTTGAGATCTGCCAATGGCCAATTAGCCGGGCCAAAACGGGGCGGATGGGTGAGGAGGGCGTGGCCCAACAGCTGATGGCGCCGAGCACGAGCCACGACGAAGTGCAGCAAAAGTTTTCTCGAGCGGAAAAAAGCTGCATGCAGTGCAGTTTTCACAGAGCAACGGCGACTGGCGAACCAAACGGACGGAGCAAGCGGAGGAGTCTCGCTTCCAGTTCTCAGCCCATCAGTTCCAGGCCCGGAATCGCATTCGGATTCGAATTCGGAATCGGATCAGATAGCATCCAGAGCACTAGGTGAGCTCAATAACCGATTTGCCTTGGTCGAGTGCGGATGCGGGAAGCGGCGAAACGAAGGCGAGTGTCGCGGAAAAGTGACTCAAACTCTGATGTAATCATTTTCACATGCCATTACGGCCGCTAAAAACGTTCCGTTCGCATTGCCATTGGCATACTCGTTCTCATTCTCGGTCATTCTCGGAAATCGGGCGATTTCGGCATTTTTGTGTTTCGCACTCGGATTCAGTCTGTTGCTGAGGCGCTCGCGGCCTGGAAGCCAAAAGGTAAACATGGTCACGACTCTACTCGAATCGGTTTGAATTGGATCGAATCGAAACGAATCGGTTTGGAGCCAGCCAAAAAGTACGTCCAGCACGCAGTTGTGCGGATTACGTTCTGTTTTGTGTCCAGTATTCCGGATCCGGATACTTTCGTATCTGTATCTTTATCTGGGCGCCAGCAGTATTGATTTAACTCACATTCGGAATCCGATGTATGGGAATGGAATGGAACCTTCCAATGGGAAGAGAATGGACAGTTGGCCAAAAGCTTTGCGCAAAAGCTCCCATCAGCTGTAAAAAAGCGCGCCAGAGAGCCATTGGAAATATAATTGAGAGAGCAAATGAGAGAGAGTGCAAAATTAATTCAAAATTATGCTGTTTAATGCCAGATTTTATGGTGTTTGTGATATCATCGAATTCCTAAAAACAGAGGTATTTGTAGAACGATTTTCAAGTTGAAGATTCGCAACCAGTTGTGTCACGGCAATATCAAAAGTGGAAACAGTGAGCAGTGTTTTCATGCGTATCCCAAATGTGTTCCCAAATAATGAAATCCTTCACAAAAGCGAATTATTAAGTTCCTTAATATCCAGTAAAGTTAATTTTAAGCAAGAGGTTTATTATTGAGAAAAAAAAATGCATAAGTGTTAAATATTTATTTTGGATCCTATACAACATTTAGGAACACTTTTGATCTGAGAATCCTGAAAATGCTAATATACATAGGTAAATTTGGCGAGAACGCCAAAATAGACCTATAATCTCAGAAATTGTATAAGTACACATATTAAGCTAATTTGTACCATCCCTTTAAGAGCGAAAGGAATGTAATTGTGGATCTTAGCAAGTCAGGAATTGGAGTCTGTGCAATGTGGACATCATCCGCGCTCGTTTTCATTGCATACTTATGAGCTGAGTGGCACTAAAAATATGTCAAATTGATGGCGAATGCTTTGTACCTTGCAGCACAATAAAATACTCGATCGTTGCAACATAGTTTCGTGAGCGATCCCCGGGATGACCTCGCGAATGTTCAAGTTCGGCGTGACCGCCGCCAGCGCCTGTGTGGGTTCCGTCCTGGCCTCGTACACCCTAGACCGCTGGAACACCCCCCACGTGGTGCGTAGTCCTTGAACACCCTTGGTGTAAGTCACTCTGTTCTAGTCCCGAATCCCCCGACCAGGTTAACAATGCCACCGTGCCGCCGAAAAGGAAGCGCACGCTGCCGCCGCGAGCGGATCAGATCAAATCCCTGATGAGCGGCGAGGAGTTCGACGTGCTGATCATCGGCGGCGGAGCAACGGGTGCAGGATGTGCCCTCGACTCGGTCACGAGGGGTGAGTGGAATTTGATTCTTTCCGACTGGAACTGCCTTTTAGGAAACGCTTTCTCCTTCTCTCCTAATCGAAGGTCTGAAGACCGCCCTGGTGGAGCTGGATGACTTCGCCAGCGGAACCTCCTCGCGCTCCACGAAGCTAATCCATGGCGGAGTGCGATACCTGCAGAAGGCTATTTTGGGCGTAAGTTATCAAAGTCTAGACCTTCGGCTAGAACATCCCCCATTGTAGAGTGCTAACGGTCCACTGCCATCTCAGCTAGATCTAGAGCAGTACCGCATGGTGAAGGAGGCGCTGGCTGAGCGCGCCACCATGCTGGAATCGGCGCCCCACTTGACCCACCCTCTGCCCATCATGCTGCCAGTCTACACGTAAATTGAAACACTACCTCTGCTCCATATGTGTGGCTTAGTTAACTAGATAATCCCGAATCCCCAGATGGTGGCAGGTTCCCTACTACTGGGTGGGCATCAAGGCCTACGATCTGGTGGCCGGCGATCGCAACGTGAAGAGCTCGTACTACCTCTCCAAGAAGGACGCCCTCGAACTGTTCCCCATGCTCAAGAAGGATAAGCTGTGCGGCGCCATTGTCTACTATGATGGTCAGCAGGATGATGCCAGGATGTGTCTGGCGGTGGCGCTGACTGCCGCTCGCCACGGCGCCACTGTGTGCAACCACGTGGAGGTGAAGGAGCTGCTTAAAAAGGACGACGGCACTGGCAAACAGGTGCTGTGCGGAGCCAAGGTCAAGGACCATATCTCCGGCAAGGAGTTCACCGTGAAGGCCAAGTGCATTGTTAATGCCGCCGGTCCCTTCACGGACTCCATCCGCAAGATGGACAACCCTACGGTGAAGAGCATCTGCTGCCCCAGCTCCGGAGTTCATATCGTACTGCCTGGCTACTATAGCCCCGATCAGATGGGTCTGCTGGATCCCTCCACCTCCGACGGCCGCGTCATCTTCTTCCTGCCCTGGCAGAGGCAGACGATCGCCGGCACCACCGACCTGCCCTGCGAAATCACCCACAACCCCACGCCCACCGAGGACGAGATTCAGTTCATCCTCAACGAGATCAAGAACTATCTGAACGCGGACGTGGAAGTGCGCCGCGGCGATGTTCTCTCCGCCTGGAGCGGCATCCGCCCACTGGTCTCCGATCCCAACAAGGACGACACCCAGTCCCTGGCCCGCAACCACATCGTCCACGTCAGCCCCTCCAATCTCATCACCATCGCTGGCGGCAAGTGGACCACCTACAGGGCCATGGCCGAGCACACCATCGACGCGGCAATCAAGGGTGAGTCTTCCAGTTCACTTAGCTTAATAACTCAGATTAACTCAGATCCGGTTACCTTATTCCTACCCGTGCAACTGTAATCCACCGATGTTCTAATTGCAGCCTGCAGCTTAAAGCCAGAACGTGCCGAGGCGGTCACCGCTTATCTGAAGATCGAGGGCGGACAGGGCTGGACCCCGACCATGTACATCCGTCTGGTGCAGGACTTCGGACTCGAGTGCGAGGTGGCCCAGCACCTGGCCAAGTCGTACGGTGACCGCGCCTTCGCCGTGTCCAAGATGGCTTCGCTCACCGGCAAGCGTTGGCCCATCATCGGCAACCGCATCCACCCCGAGTTCCCGTACATTGATGCCGAGATCCGGTACGGAGTGCGGGAGTACGCCTGCACCGCCGTCGATATGATCGCCCGTCGCCTGCGACTGGCCTTCCTTAATGTGCAGGCGGCCCAGGAGGCGCTGCCAGTGATCGTTGACATCATGGGCGAGGAGCTGGGCTGGTCCAAGGACGAGAAGGAGCGCCAGATCAAGCACGCCACCGAGTTCCTGGCCAACGAGATGGGACACTCAGTGAACCGCACCTCCAAGGAGCGCATACCCATCAAGCTGTCCAAGGAGGAGATCCAGACCTACATCAAGCGCTTCCAGCTGATCGACAAGGACAAGAAGGGCTACGTCTCCATCAACGATATCCGCCGCGCCCTCAAGAGCTTTGGCGATGGTGACGTCTCCGGCGAGCAGCTGCACGAAATCCTGCGCGAGATCGATACAAACATGAACGGCCAGGTGGAGCTGGACGAGTACCTTCAGGTGAGCCATGGAAAAAAGCACATGAAATCCAGTATAAGCTCTTTTTATATTCGAGTTTTCAAGTAGGCACGATTTACAGAATTTACACGACAAACTGGGCTAAGCAAATTGGCAAAGAAATGGCACGAACAACACTAACATTCGCTTCAAATTCCAGATGATGTCGGCCATCAAGACGGGCGACGTGGCCTACTCCCGATTTGCACGCATGGCGGAGCTGGAGGAGCAGAAGCACGAGGCGGCCAATCTGAAGCAGAAGATCAGCGTGGACCGATCCGGAGGCGGCCTGTAAAAGCACCAGCGACTTAACAACGACGACCACATCACCCGGCCATCGGATCACACTTATTTTAATTTTGCTGTTAATAAAACTCTTTCAACTCACAGATGACCGCCTTCACTTCTCCCAGCATTGAGGTGCTAAGAAGGCTTTGGAGTTGTAGTCTTGGACTTCGTTCCATTCGCATTTTTGGTGCATTTCTTTTGATCGGCCAGATTCGGCTTAGCCTGTTTTTCCTGTACGCTTGGTTTTGGATTTGGTTTGACGGGAGTGGACTCGACTTTAGCGTTTGGCTTGGTTTCGGTCGGCTTCTTCTGCTCACTTTCCGTCGAGGTTTTTTCCATTTTCTGTCCATTCCTACCGCTACCTTCTGGAAAATTAATAAAATTACATAATTATTTAAATGAATTAGAAAAATTTTAAAAAATGTTTATACCCGTTACGCGTGGAGTAAAAGCAAGACCATTAGAATTCTAGTGGCTTTGGTAAAAGATTCGTTAACAAGTATGAAACAGGCAGAAGCAGAAGCGTTCCGGCCATATAAAGTATATGTATCTATGTATATGTATCTATATGAAATTTCTCGTTCGCAATTTCGGAAAGATTCGGAAAGAAAGATTTCCGTGCGAATTGTGAGATGCAAGAATATTTAGTTTTAAAAGGTGGGCAAGTGAAAATATTTTTTTTTAAAGGTGGGCAAACGATAAAAAGCATTTTTAAAGGGTGGGCAAACGATTTTGTTTGAAAATATTTAGTTTTAAGAGGTGGGCAAACGAAAATATTTTTTTTTAAAGGTGGGCAAACGAAAAAAACAAATTTTAAAGGGTGGGCAAACGATAAAAAGAGGTATGAAAGGTATGAAAAATTCTTAATTCTTAAGGGCTTATATTTTCTAAACTAAAAGTTTTTTCAAAATTCTAAAGAACCATTTTTAAAGGGTGGGCAAAAGATTTTTTTTTGAAAATATTTAGTTTTAGTAGGTGGAAAATTCATAATTCTTTAAGGCCTTATATTTTCTAAACAAAAAGTTTTTTCAAAATTCTAAAGGGTGGGCAAACGTGGGCAAACGAAGTTATTGCGATTTTAAAAAAAAAAAGTTCAAAAAAGTCAACTTTTTGATTTTCGAAAATTTCCGAAAATGTTCGAAATTTTATATCTTCAAAACTGGACGTGGGCAAAAAAAACTAATTGGTGGGCAAACATGGGCAAACGATTCCACCTTTCAAATTTCAAAAATTCCATTTTTCCAAACCCAGCTTTCTTCTCTTACTGAAAGAGCTATGCACACTGTTCTCATTGTCGTCATTCAGATTTCCGTCGGCTTTGCGGAAAACGTATTCGCACTTCCTAAAGCAGTTGAACATATCCGTTCGCTGGTCGTCGGTTAGGTCGGCAAACATGTCCAGCTTGGGGTCCCAGAAGTAGGGCAACCTGCCCTTCCTCGGCGTCAAAGCTAGTAAGTCCGCCAACTTGCCCAACATCTGTAGCGACGGAACGTTAGCAGTGGGCATTACAAAATCATTAACATATTTAATATTCACCTCGATTAATATCTCCTTTTTGGGTTTTTCCCAGTAAGAGGCATCCTTTTCCATCACCTGCCACAGGAAGACCGTCTTGATGTGGTAGCTCTTTAGGTTTGCCTTATTTTTTTCATTACGGATGTGCTTTATCATTCGGATGGCGGACTTTAGGTTCTGCTTCCCGTGGAGCAGACTGCGCTCTGCCTCATAGAAGGAGGTCCTGAAGGATGGGTTATCGGGTTTGGCTGGCTTCATGGGCTTCGGGACGGCATCCCAGTAGAGCGTTCCACCAAAATGTTTCCTTTGCTCCGGTGCCAAAACAAGTTGTGCTGCTGAAAGCTTGATGGCTGGTACAAAGTCCACGGAGTACTCGCAAGGCCCTTTCACCAAGATATTGTGGGCGGGGCCGCACTTTTTGTATGACAGGTGCGAGATCTCGCCTTGCACCTCGATCCGATTGCCCATTTTGTTGAGCGTCTGGGTCATTATGCCGTGTAGGAAGCTCTGCAGCTTATCCTCTAGCAGCTGCTTTTTGTTGTTTACAATTTTCTGGAGAAGATCGAACACGGGCTTGTTGTGCTCTTGCTTAGCGATAATCTCCATCACCTTGGTCATATCCAGCAAGACGTTGCCTACCGAAAACGGCATTGTTGCGCCTAACCAGTAAAATTGTAACTATTTTTTATCTCACCTGGATTACTCGCATCGGCCTTGACAATGATTTTATCATTTTCCGGAAAGACCAGATGGATTAACAAGTCATACTCATCGGGCTTTGATACCTTTAGATTATCGCCATATCCACCTAAACAGGGTATTGTATAAATTACTTACAGATAAGTAATTGGAAAAATTTTAAGCATTTAGTCTGTTTTGTAACGAGAAAAAAAAACTCGGGTTAAGCATATCAACGCGAATCGAAAACTTAATAAATTATCATTATTATGGCTAATTGATAAAGCAGAACTGGAACTGGGTTGGTTTCTTATCACAGCTAAACAGTGATATTTTTCTTCTCCGAAATTCAGGGGTTCAACCAAAGGCACTGGAATATTCTAGTGCTTTCTAGTGGCTTTGGGTCAATCATTTGTAATTTTCTTTTTTGCTACAGCCGCATTTTTGAGTACTACATACCACATAGTGTTGTTCCCTTGACCAGCTTGTCCAGACCTTTCGATTTCTTCCAGTACGAGTACACCATATCCTTCAAGGCGTTGAAGTGGCCGGTGTACCGCTCGCGGTCCTCAATCCTTATGTGTTTGGCGTTCGCCTCATTGCAAAAATCTTCCAGATTCCTTACCATGATTCCAATGCTGTTGAATTGCTTCCGCCGTCGAACGCTGCCGAATGCTATCTGCGCCGGTATTCCAGCTGATCAGTGCTCGAGTGTTGAGTTTCGGAGAGGAGAGTATCTGCCTCTGAAAAAAGCAGCCGGTCGAATGTTAAGTTTCGGAGAGGGGAGTATCTAAGCTGTGCATCTCAAAATAAAGAAGAATTACCCCTGCCGTAATGTATGTAATGTTACCCAATAAGATTCTAAAATTATAATTCAATTATACTTAACATAATACTTTTAAATGTATTAAGCAGGGCCTTTAATTGTTGCACTCTCTCTCTCGCACCAAAAGAGAATATATCCATGAAAAACGAGGCGGAGCTAAAATCGATTATTTTGAAAGGAGACTTTATTCGTCTAAAAATATCGATTAAGTCTCGTAATCAAGAGGGGAGAATAATTGAGCCCACTGAGTACCTAAACTCTTTGTTAGGGTATAGCCAATCAGTTCTTGGAACTTTGGAAATCAAACCAATTACGAAGGAAACACCTACTTACCGAGAAAATGTATGATTCCTTAATTTTTGGCATGTGGTGAGATAGAAAAATAATAAATGAAGCGCTTTGTTTAAAATGCAATTTCAAGAATATTTTATTGATCGGTATTTTTAATTTAAGTGGTATTCATATTGATTTTCCATTAGCGCTTCACATTTGCAGAATTGAGAGAACAATCATAATTCATTGATCCATAAATTGAATGTTATTACATTTTGTTTGACATTGGTTTTTTCTTGCTTGCTTTAATGTATGCACGTATAAATACTAGGGAGTTGCAAAAATATTTTACAATAACAATCAAAAGTACGATCGATAGTTGGTACGTTGGATAATTGATAGTTAAAGAGATTAACAAAGGCATAGGCCCATAAAGCAGGGAATCTGTCGTAATCTAAGTTCTCAACGAATGTGTGCGGGTTTTCGAAAGACAACCCATGGATTTGAAACCACTTGCAGCTAGCTTGTTTGAATGCGGATTCCGGATGGAGGAGGAAGATGAAGTGGTTAGTCTGTCCTGAACTGGTCTGCAATCGCAGGTTGACTTCCCTTGGTTGCAGATGCATCTGAATCAAAGGCGGCTGCTGGTTACCATTGTTTGCGTTTATGCTCAGTTGCGATTTTGTTCAGTTAAATATATACTTATGTAAAAAAGAGTAAAAAGACGCTCACTTTTCACGCTGGCGCCAAAACTTAATGATTAGCTTATAGCTATATATGTATATATATAATATATCTGCCCGTTAAATATCTATGTATGTTGCGCGAGATGCCCAATATTGTTAATATGCCATGTTATCGGGTGGTAGTAGAAAATTGGAAGAGAAAAAGAGTGGCGCATATGCTAAGTTACACGATAAGTATGCTCTATCTATGTGTCTATTTATAATTGATTTTTACACACTTTATGCAATCGCTTGCTTGGTGTTGCTTTTAGCGATAAACAATTGTCGATGGACGATAGTTTGCCATCGATAAATACAACTCAGGGGTAATCGTATAAATATCTTTATAGGTATCTATCTAATCGCAGATACTTTGAGAACATTGAGAAACGTTTCGAGTTTTTGGTTTTTTTGCAGAGTTGTATAATTAAGAGTTTAGGTTTAACTTTGAGACTTTTGCACAGCATTTATTTTTATACATTCTCGTTTATGTTCTAAATATTCATATGTTTATATGGTATTCCCCATACAAGTACAATTCGAGTAAAAACCTCTCTATACGAATCCAAAATCAATGTAAACCAAAAGATCCAAAAAATAAATGCGAGTTCAGTTAACTAATCCGAGTCTGAAGGTTGGAAGCCGAGCAAAAACAATCGAAAAAAGTCTACAGGGACACTCGAAGGACATGATAGACTGGAGGAGGCTTTTGAGGAGGAGCTGCAGCTACCGTAGGGCGTATAATGAATCAGTCTTTGCGCGTCACAAGTCATTAATCGAAGGGGAAACGATACGATAAGTATATCGAAATCAACGCTAAGCGGGGTTCTCATTTCCGGATCGGGTGTGGGGTCTCTAATATGGATTCGGTTGGGGATCCTCGGGCATACAAACCGTACAAAAACTAGCTAGATACAAACATACAATACAATACATTATTAGTATCATCATCGATTCGATCCGATTCGATTAGCATCGATTTGGTTTCCTTTGTATACAAAGTTGATAATATTCGAATTACAATTATAATTGCGGTACGAGTACGTAATTAGTGTAAGTACGATAAAACAAGTTAACAAGCTTTAATGCAAAATTCCGCCTCGAATTCGAGACGAGGCTAACGTGAGTTTAGAGTAGAGTGTAAGTTAGGTGTGCGTTAGCTTTGAGCCTAGCCAAAAATTGAATTATATAAACGAGAGCGTAGCGTAGTATGCAAAGTGGTAGTAGATCCATATCCATATCCATATCCACATCCATATGTATGGTGGCGTGGCGGATATCCGATCAGATGTCCGCGGCTGCCTTGGTGCTTTTACATTTCGCTTAGGTTAAGAGTTACAAAAAGTACACGGAGGATATAACGAATAAAATCTCATCTCTGCCCTCGGCTATCATATATGTATGTGTGGTTGCTCTATAAAATACAATACAATGTAATACGTACAGTAAAAAATGTATAATTAGATTTATAATTTCTTTAGAATTGAAGTTCAATGCATATAAACGCCAAGAGCTGCGTGGCGCCAGCGTTTTAACCCTCTTCTGCACTTGATCTCTGTTAACCTGAATACAAAAATACATTATCATAAATATATTTATATGTTCGCGTGTATATGTATGTATGTATATGTATGCAATTGGTAATTAACTGTCTGGTAACGACAACGACAAAACGATTCGATACGGATTTGTATTTGCATTTGGATGCGGTTGAGTTGCTGGATGCGTTCTGCATCTGTGGGCTGTTGGATGCATCGGACGCACGATCCGGCATTCTAGATCCCCTAACCAGGATTCTCTGGCCCTCCATCTACTTGTTGTTCTGCGCCATCACATGTGGCGACTTGTAGAAGTTTTGCACGAACTCCGACAGACTGTATACCGCTCCAGGACCTTTTCCTGCACTCATGCAGATGAAGTCCCCTAGACAGTGCATGTTCGCTATTGGGAGAAACGCATTTTAGTCGCACCTCCTTAGATGTTCACCCGAAATACGTACAGTTGGACAGTATTGGTGGATAGGAGGGCGGTGGCTTGATCCAACTGCCATCCGGCCGACGCATGTGACGCCGATCCGACGAGAACTCAATGAGATATGTGTCTGCGGGTATGACTCTGAAGAATCTGTTTAACAAATACACAATGATAACCACGGTCTCTCCGGGATCCTCAAAGCGGCTCACCTGTGGTGCTCCGGACGCAGGGCCAGATCGGAGCGGAACGTCTCCGTCACGTACTTGTGGAAATATGTGGGAAAGGGCAGTGTGGTGTCCAGATCAAACACCAAACAGCGATTCAGCAAGGGATTGTGTATGAAGAAGACGTGGTAGTCCTGAAAGATTACAAAAAACACCTTTTAAACCATCAGTCTTTCTTTAAGGTTGCATCCGTGAGTCAGATACTTGTGCGTGCAACTTTCTAATAGTTTCGGTTCCTTCGGTTGTAAAGGCATTCAGTTTGCTGTAGAATGCATTTGCACTATCTCACATTATGAACCACTTACCCATATCACAACTTGATCATCGCCACGTCCTGCCTTCTGGCGCCAAAGGGGCACGGTGCGACCCTCGTTGGAGACGAAGACAGCGTAGCACTTGGACAGCTCCTCCGGTCGCGTCCGCTTCACCTGCTCGCAGAGCTTCCATACGTTCTCCTCGCTGCAGGGGAAAACCAGAGGGGCTTAGCAATCGGTTGATGCAAGACGCTCAAATGCGAGATTACGTCCCGCCACAGTCACAGTCCGCGTTCCAGTTCGGGGCTAATCCCTGCACGAAATGTCAAGTGGCTTAACTGATGCTAACCTTTATCAGCAACAGGCCGCCTCGTTGGCATTATAATAATCGATTTTGCTTGGCACGCGGCTGACTGTGCTTTTGGCCCGTGGCCCGTGCCACTTGCCACTTCCCACTTGCCAGTTCAGTGTTTATGGCTCTTTGGAATAAATTCCAATCAATTCGGCTGCCACACAATGTTGCTCGCATGCTGGCGGCCTCAGGTGCATGTGAGTGGGGCATTAAACTAGGTGGCACAACAAAGGCAGTCATATCAACAGTAACAGGTATAACAAGGACTCGCAGGGGCGGTGGATTGGGTGGTCTGAATTGTTTGGGTGGCAGGAGGCCGGAGGCAGGAGGCAGGATGCAGGAGCAAGTGGCGCGGTCAAAAGTCAAGACTGAAAGTGGCTCCCGGCTATATCGTGAGCTGGCGTTATTAATACCACCAGGCTGAGATTGCTTCAAAGTGCCGGAAAGGCAGGGGTTCAGTTGGTGGTGGGCTGGTTTAAGCCTGGACCCAATTTGAGTGACTTGCTCCAGCCCACACAGAAAGAAATCGCGCCTTTGCCATTTATTTCGGAATACTTCAGCTAGGAATTTTAAAGCCCTTCGAAGCACAGAAATACCTTAGAATATGTACAATTAAATATCTTTGAAAAATGTTTTGAAGCCTAACCATCTACATATTTATGTATGTATGTGTGCGCAGTGGCGGAAGCGACAGAAGGCAGTGTGTGAAATTTGCGAGCCGCTGCAACACGCGACCCACAGATGGCGCTGCTGTGGTGTGTATGCCGAGGAAAGCGAGGCAAACGAGAGCGGTGGGTTTTCCAGAATTTTCCTGGAAGGAGCGATGAATCTGAGTGCAAATGTGAGTGCGCGAGCAGTTGCGAATTAATCAATGAACACGTCCTGCGGGAGAAGGGGGAGGGTGATGGCCGAATGGGCGGTTGATGGCTGGATGTTGGGTGGTATGAGGTCAGAGAACGCAGCGACATTTTATCTGGCCATGTAAATGGGTGTGCGTGTGTAAAAACTTTTTTATGTTCTGCGCCTTTTGCTTGATATTTTTTGCCGCTTTGTGTGTGTGTGTGTGTGTGTGTGTGTGTGTGTGGGTGGCAGAACATAAAACTCATATCACGCGCCAGGATAAACAAGTGCCCGCCGCCAATTCATCGGGGGACCGCCTGCCAAGTTGCCATTACTTAGTTCTCGTCGCCGCCATTGCCGCCATTCTTGCAATTAGCATTTTAAATATTGCAGCAACACAGGGAAATGCCACATAACACATATGTATGTACGTACATGCATATCTATGTGTAAGCGTGTATGTATGTATGTATAGTGCGGAGTAGTACAGTACGTATATTGTTTAATTTTTGCTTTGGTTTCTCGAATGTTTTTGTTGTCGGTCGGTCGGTCGTTTGTTTTATAGTCGAAACGCGCCTCTCGCATGTGGCCATAAAAACGAAGCCCCATCCTGCGCCCGTCCTACCGCACCGCACCGCACACTCACACAGATACAGCGCCCACACACTAACGCAGTGGAGTGGCACGCCGTTCTTGTCGGCAGACATGACCGTTTGACCTAATTTCTGGAGCTGCGCAGCGCCAAGCGGCGCCGCATCAGGATTCTCAGAAGCAGGATTCGAATTCGGGAAGCCAGAGGGTCGCAGGACCCACAGGAGTGAGTGGGTAATGAGCGAATTTGAATGCAAAGCGGGGCACGCCGACGACCGTTGAGGAGGTGGAGCCACGAAATAAGCGATGGGATAATGAAAACCATCCGCAGAGGAGGCGGCGAATGTTGTTGCCAAAAGAGATAACGCACAAAAATAAAATATACATAATTAAAAGAAGAAACGCTCGTCCGCTGGGACTGGCCGGGCATGAGATAATCATTCACACAAGTGGGCTAGGCAGCGGGTATCCTTTGCATCGGGGACTAGTTCCACGCGGTGGTCGCTCGCTGAGGTAACAAGTCTGAGTTTGAGTGCCAACAGTTTTGCCAGACCAATTCTATTTCAAAGCAGTGCTCAAGAACTACACAAATTACACACTAAATTTAACATTAAAAATGTTATATACTGCTGTTTGATTTCGAATATCTAAGTGGCAGAATTGGTCTGGGTTCTGTGTTCCAAATGATGGCATTTCAGATTGCACTCCACAACTAACGTCATACCTAGCGAGCGACCACTGTGCCCGGCTTATTAGGCTCAGGCGTATTCTCCTCAGCCTGGGACTTCCCCATGGGAGGTAGCCTACATATCATGGCCATAAGCTGCGCTGCCAGCGTGTTAATATTCAGGTGCTGAAGGCTGGGCGAATGATTTGGGCTGCCTAATGAAAAAGTTTTCCATCTCCGTGCGGTGCGGTGCGGTGCTCTTGTTGTTTTCGTTTGTCGTTGCTCGCTGGCTGTTGCTTTCGTTGCTGCCCATGGGCATGGACATGGGCATATATATGACCATATATACTCACCAGTAGCAGGACACGTAGGAGCAGTCCGCTATTTTGGGGAAGAGGAAGTCCGTGGTCATCTTGCTGCGCTTCGGGATCTGCGATGCTGGTCTGTTGCTCTATTGCCGTTGTGGCTGCGGCTGGGGCTGTGGGTGGATTGCCGGGGAGGATATGGAGACGGATATGGAGCTGGAGCTAACTGTCACTGGGACTGGGAGATTGCACGAGACGAGGCGAGCGGTAGATAATCACTGCATTATGCGCCGCTGCCTGGACAAAAGCAGGTTGTGTGTATCCGTATCTGTAGTCTGTATCTATGTCTATGCGGTGGCATCGGAGGATGCTGGACGCTGGCTAATCCCTATTCCGATCCTGCTCGTGGCACTGGCACCTACTCAGCGTCATTCCTCCATTCCCAGGGAGGCTGCGATGCGATCCGATGCGAACTGATGCGGACTGATGCGAACTGATGCGGTGATGGCCCCTCTGTTTTTATATTTTTGTTATTTCTCCTGTCTTTTTCTGGCTTCCAGGATGCTGCTCACGCACACACTGCCACACGGGCGCACACACACCGACGCACACACTCACACTTACACATACACATGCACTGGGGCTCTCTCGCAAAGGAGCCGATTTCTCGTTTTCGCGTCGCTTCGTTTCGTTTGGATTCGTTTCGCTTGGCTCCGTTTCGATTTTTGCGATTCAAATTATGCTGAGGAGCCCAGCAGCTCAGCAGCTCAGCAAGGATGTTTGGGATGCAGCGTTATCCCTGGCTGCTGCCCAGCAGCTACTCCTTTCAGCTACTCAATCGCTTCGGGATCGCACACCTGCCCGAAAACAAACGCGCTCATCCCCCGCAGATTTTCTGTTGCACTGCAGCCGACGATGGGGGCTGGGGGCTGGCGGCTGGGGGCTGACCAGGTGACGGAGCCTGGGGCAACACGCACTCAGCGAAGCAGAGTCTTTGTATCTGGATCTGTATCTGGGAGCAGCTGCAGGCGGACGCGTGTGCTCAGGATTTCCTTGGAGCTCGGAGGCTGCGGGCTGCGTGCGTTATTCGGTGGACCTCTGCTAGCTTTTGCTTTTCCCTTCCACGCTCTGGTTCTGGTGGTGGCTTTTCCGCTTTTCCCCCTGTTTTCTTTGCTCGGCTCACTCCGCTCCGTGTGTTGTGTACGCGTTCCCGAGTTCGCACAGTGTGACCCACGTTGGGGCGCGCCAGAATTCCAGCCAAGTGCTGTGGATGATGGGAAATGTGAACGGGACGCGCTTTCCATTGAACCGAAAACAGAAGCGCGCGCGATTTGAAAAGCGTATGAAAGAGTGTGGTGTAATTAGGAAAGTATTCCCTGAACAAAGCAAAATTTATAAATAATCAGACTTTTAAACACTTATAAAATAAAGAGAATATATATATAAACCTTTTGCTGGAATATGTGTTATACGTTTAAGAAATCTTAATTGCCAGCTAGTTTTACCAACTTTTAAAACTTTTAATTTAAATACGCGAACATTGCAAGCTTCTACACTCCAATAAGCATTTATTCCTACAAGAATGCAGCACTTCCAATCAGAAACGGGCAAACAATGATGCCCATCGCACGAGGACTAAAGCTATTAGCTACGAAGCACGCGTGGATTGCTCACTGCTGCGACAGTCCGCGCAAGCTGACAGCAGGTACCTGCTACAGTCCGCTTCAACGGTTTTTTGAATTGCTTTAGCTGTCAGCAGCGAATATTTGTTGCTAACACCTTCGTTAATCATCGCTATCTAATCGCTAACGACCAATTGATGGCACGCAATTTGGCAAAGCCAATTAGTATTGTCTCATTTTTACGGCACTCGACAAATATTGCGCCAGGCAAGACGAAAAACCTTTCGTTCGATAAGATAAATCCAAAATCTGCGCAGTCGTTGTTGTGCCATTGTAAAAGCCGCTCGCAAACACTTCATCCACACCCAAGCGATGAACGCAACTGGAGTTATTCGCCGAAACTGATAAGCGACATAATATCTGTACCATATACATGACAGGTTGACTTAACCCACCCAGATCGGAAGAAATGGGCTGTTTAATGCTTACTTAATGTTCCGTGGCCAACAGCCGATAAGGACAAAATCGCAGAGGGGGGCAGTGCATCGGCATATTGTCAACCCTTTTCTCATTCAGTCCAATCCGATCCGATCAGCAGTGCGCCCATTATCGGCGATCAAAACGATCATGACACACATTAAGGCAAATCTATCGGCGGATGACGTTCCTAGAGGGCAGTGTACCACCAGTGCTCTATGCCGCTTTATCGCCTGGCTGTGTTCGTGAGAGAGAGAGCGGCGATGAAATCCGTATAGTTTGGGGACTCCAACGTGGCAAGCGGCATTCAGTTGGCCCCAGCGCTTTACCGTCGACGGGTTCGCTCCGCTCCGCTTCGCTCGGCTCTGCTCAGCTCCGCTCCGTGTTGAAGCATTTCTGATTGAAGCTTGGATCCATCTCGAGTCACGACATCTTTTTTGGTGAGCGGCGCAGAACCTGTTTTCCCAACCTCGTGGATTTTTGGGCAGCAGGTTCTCTCGAAACCAGTGAAAATCCCACCGAAAAGTCTTCATACAAATGTAAGTGTTCCCGAATGGAATCGTCTGCCATGCGGATTCATTGAATCTTAATTGGCGTCGATTGATCAAAGCTTCGCTAGACGCGGCATCCGCAAACAAACGATCACTCAGCCCGCATCAGCTGTGGCCAGCTCCACTTTCCATTCCCAGTGGACACCACCGAGGGAACAGGGTCAACAATCGCTTCTTATCGCCCACACCTATATAAGTATTAGCTTAGTACATAGCTGCCGATGGCAAGGCCATCTTCGAGGCACAATTAAAAATGTAATAAACAAGAAAACAGGGAAGCAGCGTTAGACGCCCGCAGCGAACTGACAAATGCCCTTCAAGAACTCGATTAGGAGTAGGAGTAATCCGGTTGTGCTCGAATTTGGAACTTGTTTATGCTCTTCAGTAATAATAGATATGCTACATCAAGTGCTAATTAACCCAATGTTTATAATAGTCATGAAGACACATATACAATAGCACACTCATTGTTCTTTGTTGTGTTTCGCTAATACTAGTTTGTATTTGGGTTATCATGTCGGTTGTTGATTTAAAATCTGAGTAGCTAGTGTTCCTAGTTACTCTTAATAATATTGCGCTAGCAGTCTAGCCGTAATCTATTGTGTAGCTATAAATATATAAAGCTGTTGAGTTAGGTAAATATTAAACCCTAAACGTTATACTGGCCTTGTAAAAACTAAGCTTTATGCAAAAGACAAGCAACGAATGAGTAATCAAAAATAATTAATGGTTTGTTTGCTTTTTCCCCGTCTACGGCATTTCGAGGCAAATTTGCATTAGCCTTTGCTAGGGCATGGCCCATAACAATTCGCTTAGGGCCAGTTATCTGAGCAGGAAGTGTTTGCCCACCGTGAGAATGCCAGCAAATGGTCGGGGTAAAAGAATCAGTTTCAAGGTTTGCTCTTTTTTTTCAGCAGAGATAAGCCAAAGATTTGCCCGCCAACAAACAAAATGGATGAGCAGCATCGGAGCCTCAATCAAAATGGCAGCGAATCCAATGGAAAGCAGGCCAGGATCGTGTCGGGCTTGGATCGACCGCTAAAGACTCCGCCGCCCGGTGAACAGACAAGGGCAGTGCGGCGACAAGTGATCGCTGTCATCCTGGCCAACGTGGGTGTCTTCTCTACGGGAATGACCCTGGCCATACCCACCGCCACTCTGCACCAGCTGAAGGACACCACGGAGCCAGTGCATCTGAACGATTCGCAGGCTTCCTGGTTCGCATCGGTCAACGCTCTGTCCGCTCCTCTGGGCGGTTTGCTGTCCGGTTTCTTGCTGGACAGGATTGGCAGGAAGAGGTCCCTGATCGTGCTCAATGTGCTCACGATCCTCGCCTGGATTCTGCTGGCCACACCCAGCGAGAGCGACCCAAAGGCCTTCTTCTGGCAACTCATGGTCTCACGATTTATGCTGGGTAAGGCGAACATCCTTTAGCAAATACTATTTATGCAGAAGTATTATTTGGTGTCTGATTATTTATAGGTGTTGGTATGGGACTGGCCAGTGCGCCACCAGGAGTCTATGCTGCCGAAATCAGTGTGCCCAAGACGAGGGGCAGTCTTATACTGGGCACATCCATCTCAGTGGCCGGTGGCATCACGATTCTCTACGGGATCGGTTACTGTATCCGCGATGACTTCCGCCTGATTGCCCTCATCTGCTGTGGATACCAGCTGGTGGCCCTGCTCTGCGTGCTTCCACTGCCGGAAAGCCATTGCTGGCTTCTGTCCAAGAAGCGTGTGACGGAGGCGAAGAGATCACTCAACTACTTCCGTGGATTCAACAAATCGGGTACGTTTTCTGCTGACTTTGAGCTTGAGGGGAAAGAAGAAATTGCCTTCTTCAGAGGTATACTCTTTTAGTGACCTGTTGCATGACAAACAAATGAAAGTCAAGTAGAGCCTGCTATCAAATCGGACGATCAAATTATGTTGAGCCACATAGAAATTGATATCACTCGAGTGCTAGGGTTTCACGCATAAGCACATTTCAATTGAAGATTATTATCTCTTATAAAACAGATTGTATAATGTTCTTTTTTCCGACAGATGAAATCACCCATCCCCTAGTGCTCGAAGAGTTCCAGCTTCTGCAGAAATCCCTGCAGCAGAGGAACGCCGCGATGAAGGAGTCCTTTTGGCGGAATTTGCGCGAACCGGAGGTCTACAAGCCATTGGCCATCCTGATGAGTTTGTTTGCCTTCCAGCAGCTAACCGGAATCTTTGTGGTCATCGTGTTCGCCGTGCAAATTTCCCTGGAGGCGGGCATCGAAATCGATCCCTTCATGTGTGCCGTGCTCATTGGTTTGGCTCGCTTGATCACCACCTGCCCAATGGGGTACATCCTGGAGTGGTGGGGTCGTCGAAGAGCAGGGGTTATCTCCACTTTGGGCATGTCCGCGTGCATGTTCCTCTTGGCGGGTCACAGCCAAATCGAGATCCTCCAGGAAGTCCCATATCTCCCGGTGGTGGCCATCGTGGGCTTCATTGTGCTGAGCACTCTGGGCCTTTACACCCTGCCCTTCTTTATGATCTCAGAGCTTTTCCCGCAAAAGGTTAGAGGGCCCGCTTCAGGACTCACCGTGGCAGTGGGCATGTTCATCTCGTTCGTGGTCCTGAAGACCTATCCGGGCATCAAGGAGTACCTGGGATTGTCGAACTGCTTCATTATTTTCGGGGTCATGGCTCTGTTTGCTCTGATCTTCGTTTATCTCGCCCTTCCTGAGACCCGTCGTCGAACGCTCTTGGAGATCGAGGAGCAGTTCCGATCCGGTCGCAGTCGCAAGTCTCAAAACCAGGCTGATGTTGAAATGAAGGAGGTTTTCGTTCGAAGGCCGGAGGAATAGTGCTTGGAATGAGATGAACTAACTTAAGTAGACCCCGTGAGGTGCTTAGTACTGTGATAGACCATTAACAAACGCATCCAGACAATAAGAAAAATAGGATTTTAACACAGAATGATGAGCATCTGGATTCTCCATGGGTGCTAGAGTAAAACATCTTGAGGTTGAACTAATTGTAAAATTTCTTGCATGTAAACTAGCTTTCGATATTTTAAATAAAATCTTAAATCAACCCATCACTGATATTGTTATAATTAAATAAGCACGTAGGTCAAAGAAGTTATTTAAATGCAATTTTGAATTTGGAAGTTGTTTTATCACTATAAATTTATGACATTTTCAAACCACATAAGATTATGTTACCAAATCAAAATGAATTCTCGTTTATATTTTAACAGATAACAATATTAAGTGTAGCACTCCTCGAGTATATTTTGTTTACTTTGAGTAAGCGGCGTGGAATCAAGTAGATTAAGTCTCTTTCGCTGATAAGAGGCTGGTAAATTTACCTGCTCCCAAACACATTCAAACTCACTCACCTTAGCACCCCGATATTTTTAAGCACCTGTTCTCTACGAAGTGATATAAATTAGTAGCACGCATTCCGATTTCACCTCGATCTGAACTCCCAATCAATCACGGAACTCAGTCAGAAAGCTGTTCTCTGTGAAAGTCAAGTTCGTGGCCAACGTCATTCGTTTTACGATCGAAGAGAACGAGAATGAAAATTAACTTTAGTGCGAACGAGAGATGCAAAAGCGTAGCTGACTGT